TTCATCATATCATGGTTTACAGTATGCCTCTCTGTAACCACAGTAACTTCATCACATTTATTATCCTGTTTTGACCAAATTTGAAGCTGTCCCTTCTCTTACCCTGATTTGTAACACTACCACCAAGCTTAGGATTGGCAAAGAAATCAATGCATGAATCGTTGCCCATAGCAACAGAAGATTCAAAACTGTCACCATTTTTATTTTCCAAAATAAGATTGCTTTCCTTGACATTCATATTAACAGTATTTATGTTGCTGTGATTTTCAGCCAAGTCATCAAGTGAATCATTATTATTGTCAGAAACAACAATGTCAAGTTTATCAGCTGTCTCAGGATGTATGTCTTCAACATTATACTTGAACCTTCCCTTCTTCAAATCTTTATTGCCCCTAGACACGGACTCATCCATATTATCATGAGCATCACAATTTTTAGTTGTCATGGTTACTACACCGCTGAGTTTTTTTTTCTCAACTTGTTCAGCCACATCACTGGATTTGGCAATTGTCATGAGAACCTCATCCGTGAGATTATCCTTGTCTGAACCTTCATTTACAAAGGGCCCATCCTTTTTTGTTGCCATGTTTACTGCATCATTATGACCTTTCTTACAAACTTTCTCTCCCAAAGACTGCAAGTTTACATAATCACTAGATTTAGTTGCATATTCAGTAACAGCACTTGAATTCATATCTACTGCAGCCTCATCTGAAACCTCACCATCAGTTTTAGAGTCACCAACATAATCTGTATCACAAATTTCAGTTGCAAAATTGGCTGCATCTTCACCATGGGAATCCTCTTCTGAACATTCTGTCTCACTAGTTTCACCCTTGTCATGTAGATCAGTTGAATGGGCATTCTTAGTTGCCTTGACAACAATTACCAGGGAATCTTTCTCTTCACATTTACTCTTTCGGGTTTCGACCTTGTCAAGTATATTGACCCAGGAATCTTCTTCTGATTCTATATTTTCACTTGTTTTGGTATTTAATTGATAATTCTCGGCTAATGAATGTGAATCTCCAGTTGTAAAGTTTTCCTTGTCTTTGAGAACAATTTTCTCAGCCATCAAATACACAGCTTCCTCTGAGCCATCATTTTCACAACTTTCTGTTGTGTCATAATTAAGATCACCAGAATAAGCATTTTCAGTTACCTTGGTGATACTCTTGTTTTCTTCGTCATTGTGACCGATCTCACCAACCATCACAGAAGCAACTTTCCCTGAAGTATGATTTTCACTCTCTTCTATTGTCTCATTACGATTGCCTGAATAATCATCAGTTACCATGGTAACATTGACAAGAAAACTGTCCTCTGAAAATGCGTCTTCACTGGTACCAGACATGTCAACATTATCGGCCAGTTGACCATTCTTTGTTTTTCCATCTGATGTTTCAGTTTTTAAGTTTTGCTCATCTTTGTCACCAAATACAGCACACATATTTTTGTGTGAGCCATCATGTGTACTACTAGCTGCAGTTGTATTGCTATGAAGATCACCTGAAGCATTCTTAGTTGCCGTGGTGACTCTGACCTTGGCACTGTGCTCCAAACAGTCATCTTCACTTCCAATGGTGTCAACAACTACAGCTGATTGCCCATTCTCAGTTGTAAAGTTATCCCAATCTTTGTAGCCAACTTCAAATGCTATCACAGCTGCAGCTTTTTCAGAGCCATCATGTTCAATAGCTTCTGTTATCTTACATTCAAGATCACCTGAATAAGCTTTATCAGTTATCATGGTGTTAGTATCCTTGTTATCCACAACTTTGTGACCAACCATGCCAACGATTTCAGTTGCAGTGCTCTCTAAGCCTATGTTTTCACTAGTTTCTTTTGTGTCACAATCAATATCCCCTGAATGAGCATTATCAGTTTCCATGACAATTCTGAACTGATCTATTTCTAAACATTCATCTTTACTGGCACAAGCACCATCAACATAGGTTGATTGACCAGTTGCTGTTGCCATGAGGACTTCATTTTTATTTTTTGAATTATCTGAAACAAACAATACAGTTTCTCTAGCAACTTCATCCTCACAATACTCATTGGTTACTGCAACCTCATTTTC